ATTCTAAACCCCGCTTTTCCCCCAAATACCCATTTTTAGAACTCCCGAATTTCCCATTTTCTCTTCATTTGTCCCATCCCAAAAAAAGGCACAAAGCTCATTTCGAATTGGAGATTAGCTTGGACTTTATCTCTCTCTCTCTCTCTCTCTTTCTACTCTTTTCTCCGTTCCAAATATCATGATCATCTCATTTTTTTGCGTTTCAGTTCATTTAATCAAAATTTTTGTGTAAGAAACTCGAGTAATCCTATATAAAAATGGAGTTTCATTTTTAGGAGAATATTTTTTTATGGGAAGACCAAAAAGGGAAGAGAGAATATTTTTTATGGGAAGCTAAGGGGGGTACAAGTGATGATTTTCATTTTTTAATATGAACTGTACAAGTGAAGTCATCAGTTGTTCAGTGAAATTTGTGATTATGTCAGGAATAAATGTTTCAACCGGATCCTAGAGTCTGTGCAAGACCAAAGCCACACCAGAAGCCAAGTTCATTCCTGGTTTCTCACCTGGCTCTAGTTCTGGTCTTCTCCTGCCTCTGGCTCTATCTACCTTGGCTTTGAGCATAGCCCTGATCTGCTTCTTCTTGTCTAGCCTAGTCACTAATAAGTTACTAGAATCATTAGCTGAATATCTTTAAAATCTTTTGATCAACCTTTTCGCAATTGTTAATAAGCAGTCTATTCAGGTCATTGAAGATTACGCCACGGTGTAAAAACGAAAATTGCGCCGAATGGAATTGCCATTTACCAGGGCCTTACCAGGGCCACTCTATGCGAGTCTGTTATCAAAATGTAGCCCTTCAATTGGGCTACACGATGATATAAAAACTTTTAGAAAAACTATTGTTTAGTACAAGAAAAATGGCCGCAAAGCGAGAGCACCGACTGTACATCGTAGTACAAACAACGCCGTAACGTCTTTTGTATGGGTATGTAGTGTTGGTGCTCTCATTTTGCGGCCATTTTTCTAGTTTTTTATATCATCGTGTAGCCCAATTGAAGGGCTACATTTTGATATTAGACTCGCATAAAGTAAAGGCTTTGGTAAATGGCAATTCCATTCGACGCAATCTTCATGGCCCCGTCTATTCATCAAATGAAAACACTTGTAATGTTCGATCGTTTCCAAACCTCACTCAATCTAATCCCAGCTTACGATTAGCGTCAGACAGTTTAAACCTTACCAAACTCTTGCTCAATTTTACTGATTGAATATCTCTGTATCCTTCTTGGAAAGATTATCAAAGTTAAAAAGAGTAAAGAAAAAATCCGGATCAAATAGATTGCGGTGACGAGTTTTGGTAGTAAAAAGAGGAGGCTATATTCTCACAATAATCACATCAAATTCAATTTTTTCCGCAACAACAAAGGAAAAAACGATGAACAGCACTAAAACAACACTAAGACACACAGTTTTAGCAAATTGACAATGGTGAAAGTTGAAATATTGCCAGATTTCTCAGCTAGACTTTCTGATGGTTAAAATGACATAAATGAAGTCGGTTTTTAGCTAAATAACCTAAAAAAGACTTGCTGACCTTTGTCGACTCCGCTGACCTTTGTCGACTCCGCTGACCTTTGTCGACTCCGCTGACCTTTGTCGACTCCGCTGACCTTTGTCGACTCCGCTGACCTTTGAGTCAAAATCATTCATTGAAATAACTCTAAAGCGGCTATCTGGAAAATTTTCGTGTTTTGGCCGTTTTGCAACGTTTTGAAACGCTCTAATGCACAGCTCTCTGCTCGATTAACCAATAAAAAGTTGAAAAAAATGAGGTAAATGTTGGGAAAAATAAACTCTGACACATTTATACATGAATATATGTGTACGTGTAGGTTTTTTTTGGATTTCTGACTTTGTAAAAGATTGTAACGGATTGTAAATGATTCAAGTCTTCATAGGCAAAGTCTTTCTCAAGTTTGGATGTGAAATCAATGTTAGAAGAATGTTTTAGTCAAATTTATTAGTAAAACAAAGCTTGTCTGTTTCTTAGAGCAAAGCAAGATCAAAAGCCAGGTGAAAAGGAAAGCTAAGCCAAAAAAAAGAGCAGAGTTTAGGTCAAAACCCGTCTGGCTTTCTTACAAAGATTTAAAATAGATTAATTATCTAGTGATTAATTATTTAGTGATTAATTATCTAGTGATCAATTATCTAGTGATCTCTAGTTCAATCATATTTTTTAGCCGTTCAATCATACTCAAATAAAATCAGCTCTATTCCAAACTTTTTGTGCTTTCCTCAATTTTTTTTCCTTCATTTTTCTCAAATTTTAATGCTAAAATTGCCAAATTATATTAAAAATCCGATTTTTCACCTGTTGATCCCAGAAGTTAGCCGTTTTGCAATCAAAAACTGAAAAGTTCTTCAGTTTTTTTTTCCAGCAATCAGTTCACAGAGAATTTCTCAAAAAGTGATTACTTTTTGTGAACGAACGAACAATTAAGCTCTTTTTCTTTGCATTTAGAGATTAGATTGTATAGATAAATTTTAAATTCAACGAATTCGAAAGTACAAAAGCAACAAAGCAACCAAAAGCAACCAAAAAAGGCTAAAACTTTAAAGCCAATTCTTCTTTGCTTAATTGCTTCTTTGCTTACTTTTGCTTAATCGGTTGGTTTTTGAAGTTTCCTTTTCTAATTTGATTCGATTTTAAAATGTGATTTCGAGAAAATTTCTTGAATAAATATCTTTTGCCCATGATATTCAGTCGACAATGACTCATTTTCTAGCATTTTCTAGCATTTTCTAGAGCTATTTTGCTCAGCAATGATCGGAATTCAGGACAACTGTCGATCATTCAAAATCATTCAAAATTTCTTCTCAAATTCCTTTCGATAATGAAAAGGGATAAAAGAAAGCGTGGGAAAATCTGTATGCAATGTGTTTCTCTTTTCCTTATCAAGAGATGGAGTGAAAGGGGAAAAAGGGGCGGGGCTTGTGGATGGAATTAAATGGACATCTCCTTGGGATCTCACCTTTCCCATTCCCATTTCTTTCATCTAAAATGCTAATCTCTGAATTAAGTCCTACGGTAAGTTTATCTTTTTTATAAATCTTTATTTTGTCGATTTATTTTGTCGGTTTATTTTGTCGATAAATCTTTCCCATTATATCCTCACAGCATCAATCCCATTATACCCCTACAGCATCATTCCCATTATACCCCCACACACATCAATCCCATTATACCCCCACACACATCAATCCCAGTATACCCTCACATTTAAAAAAATTAACATTTGACAAAAAAACAACAAAATCTAGTTTGTATCAATCCCATTATACCCCACAAATGGCAGGTTTTAAAAAAAGCTTTTCTAACTACAATTCATAATGACACACATTAAATTCACAATTCAATTTTTGGAGGCCATTTGGAGGCAATCCTTTTAAGAACCCAATCAAAGTAATCGATCTTTCCCAATTCAGTTCTGACCATGAATTCCGCAAGGTAGCTTTCCAAATGATGACGTGATGTACCGCGGTGCTTGTTATTCCGCCACTTTGCGCTTCCCCATAGCCGCTCGATAGTTTGTGTGTGAATCGAAGGATCCGTTGAATTAAGAAAGTTCTTCGAGTTTTTCTTTGGGCTTTGGGAAAAACATCATTCGGATAAATGCTAATTTTTTAAAATGTGGGCGTATAACAGGAATGATGCGTGTGGGGGTATAATGGGATTGATGCTGTGGGGGTATAATAGGAGAGTACCATTTTGTCAGTGTCAATTCGCGTCAATTCTTTTTCTGTCTCACTTTAATCTGTTACTTGATCATTTTTAAAAGATTAGATAAGAAAAAAAAATAAGAATTTGTATGTAAATCTTTAAAATAAAACTTTACCTTCAAATTTTCTTGGTACAATGTTTCCCAATGTTTTTCAATCTTTTGAAAATCTATTCTTGAGCAGAAAGTGACAAGCTAGGACTTTGATATGAAAATTGGACCTCAAAAAGTTATTTATGAACAAGATACAAAGCTTTTTTTGGCTTATAATGTAGTTGGGTTACCTTTAGAAACTTAAACATTCCATTTTTAAGTAAAATTGGTCTACAATTGAGTTTTTAATTGTACAATTGGTTTCTTATTGTACAATTGGTGTAAAATTGAGTACAATTGAACAATTGAACTCAAATTGAACAAATGAACAATTGAGTACAATTGAACTTTTACCTATAGTCTACTTTGCGCTCTTCAAGAAATTAAAACAAATCTCTTCTAGCAAACGCACTTATCCCTTTCTTGCTAAACAAGTTTATAGTACTAGTTTATAGTAAACAAGTAGTACTGTAGTTGATCTTTCTTCAAAAGATTTTTAGATGTTTTGTTATCTGTCAGTGAATTAACACTAGCTAAAATCATTGACCATCAGAAAGGATGCTTTTCAGCGTTTACTCAAAGAAAAACCAATCAAAAAAGCTTTACATTCTCCCCAAAACACTCAAAGTTATTTTGAACATCGTTTATGGCTAAAAAAATCTCAAACTTTTATTATTTGTCTCCTCTTTTCCCATAGATAACCCCAGCTTAGCCTTGTCTTAACTCCTTTTTTCGTTTGATCCTTGTTTTCTCATTTCTTTCTTGGGATTTAGTTGACCATTTTTAGAATTCTCATCATGGTATGTCAGCTTTGATGATTTTAAAGTGAAATCCTTAAAATCATCATTGTAAATGAAGAGATTCGACTTCAGTTTTGACTTTCAATCCAGAGATCTTCAGTTTTGTTCTTTACCTTAAGCTAGATACTTGATTGAAAAAGTTTCTTTAATGCTTAATTTCTTTGCTTTCACTTTAACTTTAACTTTGACTTGCTTTCTTTGCTTTTTTTTTACTTACAATTTCACCTTTTCAGCAAGCAGTATTCAATTGTTTCTGATGCGGTCAGATCAAGTGCTTCTCGTGTTCTTGGGCTCTTTAGCTGTTTCACTCAACGGCCTTCCATCAAACACAAACAAAAATAATGAAAAACAAGAAAAAGGAAAGGAGAATCTTCACGATGCTTTGATGCAAATTTCACAACAAATTGGACATTGTGAGTTATGATTTTTATTGACATCAAAAAACGAGTAATTTTCGAATTCATTCAAGTATTTCTTTCTCAAAGAAATCTCAAATACCGTATTTTTTCGAATAGAAGACCGGGTAAAGAGTATCATCGCGTACTCCTGCGTAGCAGCCCTTTTTAAAATTTCTTTTCTGCATAAAAGCTTTCAATGAAGTGCTATAGAGCTGGAAAATGACTCAAAAATCTGTTAGCTCATGTGGTATTTTTGAGTCATTTTCCAGCCCTATAGCACTTCATTGAAAGCTTTTATGCAGAAAAGAAATTTTAAAAAGGGCTGCTACGCAGGAGTACGCGATGATACTCTTTACCCGATCTTTCTATTCGAAGAAATACGGTAAATCTTAAAGAAATCATTCTCAAAGAAAATAAAATCTTTTTTTCATAGATTCAAAAGCGTTTTTTTCTAGAAATAATGTACATTTAGTGTGTCAGAAAGAGTGTGTTTCAGCTCAAAGAAATCTTTAACCTTTCTACGCCCACTTTTGACTCGAAATTAATCTAAATTACTCCATTTTACTTTAAATAACCTTAGTAACTACTTAAAAGCTATCTTTTAAGTGCCTCTAAAATTTTCATTACCTTTCTTTTTCACCAATGTTCCCCATTTTTTTCCATCTACCACGTCACCAAATGGGTAAATGAACTATGAAAGCCATTTCTTCTCAAAAAAAAAATCGTCACCTTTTTTTACTCATTTCATTACCATCATTCACGTTTTCGTACCAAAAAAAAAAAGAAATTTCAATCAAAGTCTTGATTTTGTTTGCTCAGAGCCACGAAAGCCTAGTTTTTTTGCAGAGATTTTCGTATCAAACCTGAAAAAAAAACCCGTAAGTGAATCTGAGAGTTTTTTGGGATAAATATTTTGAAAAATTTAAGCGAAATCTCTTTCTGATAACGTGATGAAGTAAATATTTTGCCGAGTTTTCAGTTTTTTTATGCAAAAAAAATGCAAGCTTTTTCTTTCAAAATAGATCCAAAAATTTCTCACATAAAAGAGCAAGATTTACATCATAAAGGAAAAGGAAAAGAGCAAAATTGGAATAATTAATAATTAGGAAATAATTTGGATATCTTTTCAAAAATAGATAAACAGATTATAGAAAGGTTTCCCTGATCTCGATTGAGCACAGATTTTCACATCATGATTCAAAAACTGTACCTTATCCAAAGCCTTTCAACTTCTAATCTGTTAGATTAGATGAAAGATAATGAGAAAAGTTGAAATGTTGAGATGAGGCTTCAAGCATTTACTTGAATGATGGGAATCACGTGGGTGGAGGTTTAAAAGAGAAGAAAAGTGACGTTGAGAGGTCAAAAGAGTGAATTAATCTCCCACTCTGAGGTTGGGGCTTAAAAGTCACGTTAAAAGTCATAAAGAACTCGAAGAGTCACGCAAGAAACACAAATCATAGGTTTTAAGTAAAACTGGGTAAATGAAGTTGAAAGATTAAGGCTTAGTGGTTTGATTGTGGCATTTGATACGCGCCATTGGCAATTTAACTTTGAGCTCAAATTTCTTGGTGTTTGGCTGTTCAATTTAAATATTCTTTGGTATCATTAGATGCGCCAAGTCTTTCTCTGTCGATTGTTATAAAAACTATTTAAATTGGATAGCCCAACATCAAGAAATTCAAGCTCAAAGTTTGCCAATGGCAAAGGGGCGGGGCGACGGACCTTTTATACGCGTCTCGCCTCTTAGCCATTGAAAATCTAACTTTAAGCTGAAATAGTCCATAGTTGCTGTATCAATCATCAATATCGATAGTTTAAAACACCTAGTTGTACAAAACTTGATATCTATATTGAACGATTGTGAGACATTGAGACGCCCTGCCCTTTTCCCATTGGCAAGCTTTGAGCTCAAATTTCTTGGTGTTGGGCTGTCCGATTTAAATAGTTTTTATACCAATCGATAGAGAAAGATTTGGCGCATCTAATGATATCAAGAATATTTAAATTGGATAACCCAACATCAAGAAATTTGAGCTCAAAGTTTGCCAATGGCGAAGGGGCGGGCGTATCAGATGTCCGATAACCTAACCGTTTTAATATCTTCTTTTGAAGAGTGTTTTATGACTTGAAACAAGCAAATCTTAAAGTAACTAAACTAATTCTTAAATTCAATAAACTAAGCTCTATACAAGTTGAACAAATACAGCTGTGAATCTAAGTAAAAAGAGTTGGAGTTTTGCTTTTCTAGAAATTTGAGTACTTTTTCAGGACAAGTACTGTAGCTCCATTACATTGTAGAACCGTAAAAGTACTGCAGAAATTAAGCTTTACCATAAACAGAAAGTCTACTGCTTCAAAGCTGAACAGCACTCACAAAAACCAAAACCATTTCCAGCTTCAATACAAGAGAAGCTCTCGTTGAGGATAGCGACAAAGCCCGAGAGTCAGATGGTCAAATCGGGCTCTTCATTCGAGCTCTCTTGTGAAGCAATCGGCACTCCACCTCCAGTTTTCACATGGTAATTTGATTTTTGAATAAATTCAAGCAAAAACTTGCAATATTCATGAACTGATTCATTCAGTTTTTCAGTTTTTCGAGTTTTTTTTCATTCGTTTGATTACGAGCAAAACACATTCGTAAATCCGGATTGAATGAGAATGCTTTATCCATTTTTTTTTCTAGTTAGAAGCTCTAAATACTCAAAACTAAGGAAATAATAATGAAAATTAGTATTTTGACTTAGTTTTTGCTCTTTTATAGTGATCATGAGTTTTAAAAGTCTCAAATAGTTCATAGATTGAGCCATTAAATAAACTTTTTATGCATCTTTCGTTTATTTTAAAGTCACTTTTCTCTAAAGCAAGCAGGAAATTAAAATCTCAGAATACCCCACAAACAACCCATTTTTCTCTACACTTCTGGTCCATTAGCACTTTATTTTCTTTGTTTTTTTTTCGAGAGAGAGCTGCTTGCTCAATTACTGACCTTTAAAGCTTTAGAATTTGCAAATTCACGGAAATTAAATTGGATTTAAATTGATGAAGACGAAAGAATGATCAGCTGTGAACAAGTTTAAAGTTTAAGGATTAACAGGGTCACAGAGAGATTGATTTGGCTACAATGATAAACAAATTCTATCTATCTTACCCCAATTTAGCTACATTTTTGCGAACGATTGAAACTAAAACATTTCAGGTTGTTGAATGGAAAGCCAATTGTCGGTGGTCAAGACAATAATCTTCTTGAGAAGCTTCACAATGTGGGAAAGACCACCGTAGAGACCTCAATCACAAGGACAACAATTGTGGGTATTTTTAAAGAAAAGGAGTTTTGGACAAAGATTGAATTCAGTTGAATAGAGTAGATTCAGTTTGGAGTTGTTTGTTACAGAAAATGGCAGGGTTTTTTTTGGAGCAACTTTTGAAAGGAGAAAGGCGTTCTTTGCTCGTTTCTTATTTGAAAATCAAAAAAGTTAACCCATTCCAATTGTCGGTGATCACTTGAAAAAGGAAAAATTTGATTAAAAACAAGATGAAATCTATGTTCATTCAATCAAACTTAAGAATTTGTGAATCTTTTGCGATATCGAAGGGGGAGAATTTAGAAATTGACTTTTTTATGACTTTTTCTATGAAGGGGAGAATGTTTTCTGTAAAAATTGATTTGTCATTTGATATATATGATTTGAAAGCTTCAAATCTCCTCTCCAATTTTCCTAGTTTCAATTGGTTGACTCAAGAAAATCAATGAGCCACTGAGTCGACTTTGAGCGTCACTATGCTCAAATTTTTGGGATCAATTTTTGCCTTAAATTCAACTGTATCTTGCAAATATCTCGTCAAATCACTACAATAATTATTGCCAGGGAATAAGCCAACTCTCCCACCGATAACCTTTCCCATAATCCGATTCATTTCAAAATCCCGACGCATTTCATTGCCAGCTCTGTAAATGAATGTTCAGAATGAGTGAATTTGAATATCAAGGACTTTCTGAGTGAAGAATAAGTGAAGAAGTCTTTGATATTCAAATTCACTCATCTGTTAACGATTCGTGACGCTAGAGTTGACTAATCGTCTGTTTTTTTTGTGAGTAGACAAATCTAGACTCTATAAATAGTCCAAGTGTGCACTTGGATTTTGAATCTTCCACTTCAGCAAATCCTCTCAATAAACTTAATAAACGTAGTTGGGGATAAAGAAAACATTTTCTCTAATTAGTAAAAACAATTAGAACAAAACAAGAACAAAACAGGGAAGTTGGATTTTTTTAATATTTCGTTACAGAATTGTAGACAAGGAACTTTTGAAATCATTGTAAAAATGATGCAAAAATGAATGGCTAGTAAAGTTTAAATATAAAGTAAAAACTCAGCTTATGCATAAATTAATATTCTAATCTATCTATCTCAAAAAAAACAGCTGATTCTTTTAGAAAATCCCATGTGCCGAGAAGAAACATCGAGGAAAGTACACATGTGTCGTCACAAATGGTTTCATCACTGAAAAGGCTGATGCAAGGATTGTTGTTGGTGAGTGAATTGCGGGAAAATCATTTGACTTTCACTTAAAAGCTTTAGCTTTAGCTCAATTACTTCAAAGTTTTAACTAAAATCTATCTTAACTAACTAATTTTCAGCCGGTGGCCAATCAAAATGTTCAAAAGAAGGCCAACCACCACAAATCGTTCAGTACACGGAAAGCAGGTAAATAATTTTCTCCAAATAATTCCAAGATCCTAAATTTCATTGGTAAATTAAAGCAGGACTCTCACTGGTTTATACTTTCAGATTTGAACGCGAGGGAAACACAGTGCAACTCTTTTGTCGTACAATTGGTGCAAAGTCGATCGCGTGGTACGGACCGGAGAGGGAATTTTTAAACCATGCACCTGGATATGAGGTCTACTTTACAAGCTGTACTTCAACTGTACTTTGTACTTGTGCTTAAGATAGAAACATATCATTTCTAATGCACTTGCAAGAGCAAGCAAGAACTTAGATGTCAATTTGAATTCACTAGAGAGGTTGAGTGGAAAGTGCAAAAAAAAAAAAATAAAAAATCATTTTTCCACCATACCACCTTGAGCCACCGGAAATATTTTTAAAGACCCAAAGTATTTTTTTGGGATCCCCTGTATATAGCTACAGTATTTCATTAGCTGTTCTTTGGTTCACTTTGTATTTCAGCAACTTCTCTAGTGAACTCAACTCCTCTAGTGAACTCAACTTCTCTAGTGAACTCAACTCCTCTAGTGAACTCAACTCCTCTAGTGAACTCAACTCCTCTAGTGAACTCAACTCCTCTAGTGAACTCAACTCCTCTAGTGAACTCAACTTCTCTAGTGAACTCAACTTACTTCTCTAGTGAACTCAACCTCTCTAGTGAACTCAACTCCTCTAGTGAACTCAACTTACTTCTCTAGTGAACTCAACCTCTCTAGTGAACCCAACTTGACATCTAAGTTCTTGCTATGAAAATTTCTTGCTTGTGGATTTTTTTGAGACACTCTGTATATAACTATAGTCTCAAAATATAATATACTTGTGGCAGCTAAACTAAAAAATGAAAAAGTCGGCAGTTGATTGGCAGTACGGGGAGTTGAACCCGAGGTCAAGCCTTTACCTGGCTTGGTCTGTAAACAAGTGCGGTCCCGACTGCGCCACGCCATCAGTCGAGTCTCATGGCTGGTATAATCTTAAACCAAAACATTTCTAGGTCTTGGAAAACGGTGACTTATTGATCCGATCAGCTTCCTGGAAGCATTTGGGTGTGTTCACTTGTGTGGCGACGAATGAGTTTGGAGAGGCTCGAGCTGAGGCTTTCTTCTATCCACCAGCTGATGTTTGTTTGCTTTGAATATTTATTCTTTATTTTACATCGAATCACCAATCACCAATTAACAACTTTCCAAATTTAGTTCGACGAGGAGACAAGCGCCGGCGATGACGGAGATCTCTCATTCTCACTCTAATTTCTCGCAAATTTGATTTTACTTTTGGGGAAAATAATTTTCATTTATTTAAAAAGGGTTTCTAAAGAAATTTGTTAACAAAAAAACTTTAAATGATATAATTGAAAGGGGAGAAAGTTAGTTATAAAAAGAGTTATGAAAAGAGATTATGAATGTGAATTGTGTGACTAGTTTTCCGTCAAGATAAAAGTTATTATTAGAGTACGGTATTATAACTGACTATTCTCCACTTTCTCCATATCATTTCCTGAGAGTATTTCATGAAACGATTCTCCTTTTCGGCCAAAATGTGATACTCGGTGTCTAGTCTCTCCGCTTACAAGAATATGGCTGGCTTTAGATTCATAATACAATCCTAAAGGATACTGTAATCCTATAGAATATCTAAAAGATACTGTAGACTTAAGTCCTGTAGTTGTAAAGATTACCGTATTCCCTAGAACCCTAGAACATCGTAATTCTAAATATCGTAATGTTAAAGATAGTAATCTGAGAAAGATTACAATATCTTTACGGTAATGTTATTACTTTACTTTACGATCATAGTATTACGGTAATTCTATAACTTTACTTTAAGATAAATAGTATTACGGCAATCCTAAGGTAGTATTACGGTAATCCTAAGGTAGTATTACGGTAATTCTACAACTTTACTTTAAGATAAATAGTATTACGGTAATCCTAAGATAGCATTACGATGATCCTAGAACTTTACTTTAAGGCAAATAGTATTACGGTAATCCTAAGATAGTATTAGTATTACTGTATCCTTTAATTACTTCAAGTAATCAGTTATTCGTTTGAATAAGTCAGTTCGAATAAGTCAGTTTGAATCTAAAGCCTCATCATTTTCCTTGCTTTCTTTTCTACATCCCAAAATGATCTCAGAATTTTCTTTTTCACAAAACGAATCCCGGTTTATTAAAGGGTTATTTCTCGACAATCACTTTTCTCTCAAATTCAATATTTTTGATGTACAAGTTTTTTTTTGAAACATTTTTTTTGACTTTCTTGAAGCATAAAGCTATCTGAGTGTTTACGAAAGTTTTAAAAAAAACTGAAAGTCACATGAAGCATATACTATTGATGTTTGCTATATGTATTGCTAGCACTAGCTAAAATATACTAGCTATTGATGTTCGCTATATGCATTGCTAAAATATACTAGCTAAAAATATACTATTGACTCTAGTATTGTTGACGCAGTTTATTTACTTTACACTTGTGAATGAAATCACTGAGATCATTGACAACACGGGGTTCATTCTAGTCGAGAGATAATCTCTCTTGACGTAAATTCTTTCAATGAGTGTATTTCAATGAGAATCTGTAAAGGTTTATTCAATCTTTTTATTCAAAAAAAAATTAGCTCTAATAAGTCTAAAGATAGAAATTATTAAAGAAGATTATTTTAAAGATTTTTTTGTCAAATTGAACACAAGAAGTGACACTGAGTACCCTGATTTATAAAGAAAAGAAAAAGAAAAAGAAAAGAATCGCTTTTTCTTGAAGAAAAGAAAAAAGCGATTCAAAATATTTGTTTCAACGAGATTTATGAACATTTTCATGGTAAATATAGAAGTAATATTGAAAATTTTGAGTCTAGAAATATTATTGCTTTTAGGAAAGACGTAAACATTGAAGAGGCCATGTGTTTGACCTTTTTTTAGGGCTTTGAATAAGTTGAACTTAAAGAAAACTAAAGAAAACTTGAAGAAAACTGAAGAAAATTTAAAGAAAACTTAAAGAAAACTAAAGAAAACTTAAAGAAAACTTGCTAGACGACTTGACTAGACATAGAATTTGACTAGAAAAGAATTTTTGTGTTTTATCGTCTTATTCACATCAAAGTTTAAAGAGAAGAGATCAAAATAAACCAAAGAAAAAGAAGATGATGTAAAGAAAAGAAAAAGAAAAGAAAAATAGATGAAAACGAAGAAAATCTGTGATACCCTGGCTACACGAAGTCGAGCATTTTTAGCACCGGAAGGGGATAAACATTTTTAGAAGAATTTTAAAGAAAAAAGGGAGAAAACTATGTAAATAATAGACTGTACCAAGAAACCTATTAGATCAAAGAATCCAAGAAAGGTGAAGAGAACATGTGAAATATCAAGGATGGTTTTTGAAATCTTTTAAATTCAAGTGATGGATCATTTTTTTGATCATTTTCAGTCTGATTCTAAGATAAATTTAGATTTCTAAACAATTGCGGTACTTGTTTATCTTTTGCCACAAATCGCAAAGATTTTAAATGCTAATTTCTCTATCTTGTTGCAATTTACATTTATAAAAAGTGAAAAATAGTTTTTTTTGAGAGCGAAAGTATGAAAATGAGAAAAAACGAGCAAAATTCTACATTTTTATCTTTTTTTTCTCGTAATTTGATATGCAAATTCAATCGGAAAATGCAAATCATCTAGTTTTTATCAAAAAAGATAAACAAGTACAGAGATTGCAAGTTTGGAATGCGTACAGAATTATCCAAACCTAGATTCTCAATCCGATAGCCTAGCTTCAGCTACACTACTGGACAATGAAATATGATATTTGAAAAAAGATCGTCACTTTCGCGCCTGTAACTCCCTTGTCTTTACCGTATTTCTAAATATTAATATTACCATTGTGTAGCCCTTGAAAAGAGCTTTCAGAAAACGTATAACACTAATAGTTTAAACTCAAAGACAAGGGAGTTACAGACGCGCGAAAGTGACGATCGTTTTTCAAATATCATATTTCATTGTCCAGTACTGTATAAGTAAAAGTCCCTCTACCGGAACGTGCGCGGGAACCAAGAACTAATACGGTTCGCAAAAGAATGATAAAGGGAAAGATGGTGATGAGAACCGACCAAAATTTGATAAGGATGACTACGTGTACTTCTAGAACTCAAAGAAAAGTACAGACGCGCGAAAGTGACGATCGTTTTTCAAATATCATATTTCATTGTCCAGTAGTGTAGCTGAAGCTAGGCTATCGGATTGATCATCTAGGTTTGGATAATAATGTATATTGCCTAGTATTCATGGATTTGAAATCAACATTTTATACAAATTAATCCATTTCTTGAATCAAATAAACCAATCATGGATAAGTTTCAAAGTCAGAACAACTTGAAAGTAACACTTTTAAAATATTTCCCTAGAACTTTGTTTTCTTTAGAAGAAATTTCTATAAAAAAGTATCATGCGCAGAACTATTCGTGTTACTTGGCGGAGTCATCCTTCTCGACGCTTTTCTCCTCTCGTTTCCCAACAATGCCGTGTATGGAGTGGCTTCATGTTCACTGTGTACCCCAGACAAAGTATTCCTGAAATTTCATTAATCTTTTTTCCAAAATCTCATCAAATGTTTAAGCTGGGAGAGAGGTTTTTAAAGAAGATTTTGGGGAAGATTGGCCACAGAAACGAAAGAAAAACTTTGGCTTCACTCATTGTATAAATAAAAGAAAGCAAAGCAGAGAAAGTTGGCAGAGAAATTTTTACGTGTTTGAGCGTTTCGATTCGATCACATTTGACACGTTTGATCTATACAAATTTGAGGGAATTCTGGGGAAAGAGAGAGTTGAATCTTTAGCTTGATATTCTTTGTTTCATTTAGTCCAAGCATTGCGTCAGTCCCTTGACTTACCTACTTGACTTGACTTGGATTCTTCACCTGATTGGATAAAAGTCCTGTAGATTAAGATTGATAAAAGAGGTTCAGATTTTAGGCATACTGTAATTTTTGGTGTCTTTCAGGAACTTGACATTTTCCATAACTAGTCCTAGATGGAAACACAATCTACCAACAATTACAGGGTAGCCGACGAAATTTGCGGCAAGGTTTTTGACTTGTAGATGATGCCAGGTTTATCAAAATCTATTGTACTCATATCCAAAAATGTAGCAAATTTTCTGTAGCTTCTGAAACTTATAATTATTTTACAAGAGTTCTCCTAGTTTTTGAGTTATGCCCTTTTCTGTGCCTTTCAAAAAAGGCCTCTGTGCCGCTGCTCGTTTTTTTTTAAGTTTGAGGTTAAATATCTTTTGCAAAATGCATTATTGGCTAAAATATTCAAAATTATGTAACCGGTTTTTTGAAAATAAACACGACTTAAAAATTCATCTTGAATATGTTACAAAGCCTCGATTTTTGGTATTTTTTAAGAAGTGCTAGTGAAAGTGTGTAAAAAGACTTTTTTTTTTTCATTTTTCTATCAGATTCCAGTTCAAGTTAGCTAAAAACAAGACCTTAGCTAATAATTAAAAACATCCTTTCAGCAGCCAGCTTGATGCGCAACACAATGTTCTAGGGTGGACCTCTATATCACTTTCGGCGCAGAGGCCTTTTTTGAAGGGCACAGAAAAGGGCATAACTCAAAAAACTAGTAGACCTCTTGTAAAATAGTTATAAGTTTCAGAAACTTTAGAAAATTTGCTACATTTTTGGATGAGTACAATAGATTTTGATAAACCAGCCATCATCTACAAGTCCCTGTACATTCGAGATCTTGATTTTGCGTTGTCTACTTAGAAAAAATGTTAGTATTCTTGATCTTGAGTTTTGGGAGCTAAAAATCCTTACGCTCACTTCTGGCAAGCTATTGACAGCCTACACAGACTTGGGGAAACTTCTAATAAAAGGTTTCTAGTGAATTTCTAGTAAATTTCAATCCATTAACCAAACTTCTAGTAAATTTCTGATAATTGAATGTTTTAGCCTATTATTTTTCTAGTCTTGATTTGATCAATTAACCATTCTTTGTGATCAATTTTTCTTCAACAAACCTCTTCGCCAGCATGTGCTCTCCATCTTGTTTCCGCACATTTTTATGCTTATCCACTAAGATTATCCACAACTTTGGCGAGAATATACAAACTAGCACCACATTCGCCGACATTGAGATCGATATACAAAGGGATGTGGTTTGAATCTGAAACAAAAACAAATTCGCATTCTGTAATAGTAAGTAATGGAAAGAAATGTAATAGTAAAGAATGGCAAAGAAAGATTTCCGGAGAGGGGATTGAACCCTTGACCTTTTTGTTAGATGCTCTAATCACTGAGCTATCCGGTAGCTTGCCAGAGAAGAAAGAAGAAATACAAGGGGGAAAGAGAAAGGAAGAAAGAAGTTTAAGCCTAAATAAGACCCACCTCAAAGTCGGTACCCGTACCAAAGAAGAAAAAGATCCACGATACCCATAAAACGCACGTTGTGTACATCGAGAAAGCTATCCATTTTGTTTCATTAAAGTTTTCGGGCACCTGGAAATGAAATATTGAGCTGAGTTGCTTGTTCAAAGTTACTTTTCTCGTTTTCACAGCATAAATTGTAGTCAAAACGATGAGACCCGCATCATAGGCTAATGAGTAGAGAAAATGGTGATCGGGCACGTTACAAATCAAAACGACTTGATCTCGAGTTGGATAATAGTGACGGGTGCCTAAACAGAAAACTTGACTTCTTTTCTTTTAACGTTCAATTGGTTCTATTGATAAGAAGAATAAGAGCTGACTTAATGTCTTCTAAATTTTTGCCAACCACTTTGAAAGACTTGATTCAAGACTCATTGCTAGATTGGTAACTAACCTGGTGGCACAATGTAAAGCCACAATAAGCTGCCAAGAAGTTGAAGCCCAGCTAGACAAACGGTCAAGCAAACTTGTGAGATCGGCGAGATACAACCCGGTCGTACAGCTGATCGAGTGGCCTAAATGAGTATGAGAATTTAATCAAGAACAATACTTTTCCATTAAGAAGCTAGTGATTCAATCAATCAATTAATCTACCTGAGAAAATATCCTTGCTATTCGATTCGTTTTCACTAACATCGCTGCATAGAGGCAAGAGAAAGCAAATCCGATTCCTGAATTGTTCATACAAAGGTTTTTATTATATTTTTAAAGGTGTACCTGTTCTTTTCAATCCACAAACCCATGTGGCAGGTCTCGCCAAAAGAACAAACGTCATCATATAACACATGATCATTGCTATCAATAAAATATAGCACAGCTCTTGTCCCGAGGCTTTTACAATTGGAGTATCGTTGTGTCTAGATTTTGATGTATAATTGTTAGAAATTGAAAGACCGTATTTTCCCCAATAATAGTGCACTGGAAGTTTTGCCTAAATTCCTCGAAATCTCGACAACCGCTTATTAGAACAAATCGATGTGCGGTTGGAAAATGTAGCTGACGATGAGATCTTGCAGGGGATTAGAGTGTTGAGCTTCTATGAAAACTTAGAAACCGTAAAATAGTCATCAACTCGGCTCGGCGCGGTGCACTACTATTAGGGAAAATAATTGCGACCTTTTTCCGAGAAAATCCTAGGTTGGCGCTTTAAAGCGTGGTAAAACTACCCCTCCAATTTGCGCGAAATTTTATTTTTTTCTTTCTTGTTGATTTCATTTGATTCTTTTTGCGTTTTTTTCAACGTTTCAACGTTTTTTCAAATAAAAAGTCACAAAAACAAAGCTTCCGCCATAGAAAATGATAAAAACCACTTAACTTAACATTAGCTGGCATAAAGTTCGTGGAGCAGATCGTCGGGAAGCAAGTGGATCTAAAAAAACAGGAAATGTCGCCACAGGAAATGTCGTTAAAACGTAACTTAGCTTTATCCTCTTTGTTTCCTGCAAAAACCGACGCAACCACATCAGAAAAACGCAAAAAGAATAAAATGAAATGATGAAAAATAAAAAAAAATGAAATTTCGCGCAAATTGGGAGAGATACGGTAGTTTTACCACACTTTAAAGCGCCAACTCAGGATTTTCTCGGAAAAAAGTCGTAAGCAGAGAAAATCAAGAGTTTTATTTACTTCAAGAAGACCACAATGATGAATAAAGCGGTCGCGATTCCAAGTGATGCAAAGATAGTCGGTACAATACTGTACCAAGATCTCCATTTCATATGCTTCAAATGTTTTTCAGCAATGTTATAGCAGCTCTAGAAACAATTTTTTGCAGGTTTTCTACTAGTTGTGCTCACTTTTCGATCCAGATTCGGCCACCACCCTTCACCACAATCAGCGCAAGATGTTTCATTCGTTAGATATTCATGACCTTCACATTTGCTACAAGCCCAACAACAGATTTCATCCTAAAAACGGAAAGTGATTGTATTTTGAAGTTTGGTAATCATTTTAACGTAAATAGTTGACAGGGTAGGCTACTTTGCGCCAAACTTTTTGCGCAACTCGCCATAACTCTCTTCTAAGTGGACCAATCTTTATGATTTTGGTTTCGTTTTGTTGCACTTATTGAGATCTACATCTTATTGAGATCTTATTGAGATCATTTGCGCAACTGGATCATTTGCACAACTGGGTCGTTTGCTCAACTCGCCATAACTTTCTCCTAAGTAGACCAATCTTTATGCTTTTAATTTCATTTTGTTGCACTTATTGAGATCTACAAAATGAAACCAAAATCATAAAGATTGGTCCACTTAGAAGAAAGTTATGGCCAGTTACGCAGTTGCGCAAATAACCCTGTTGCGCAAAAAAGGTGCGGAAATTAGCCTACCCCTAGTTGACATTTTCAAATTCTATTTTTAATATTTACCTTGATCAACTGCTTCTTATAACCTCTTGCACAAGGCAATGTGCATTTCGAGATCGGAATCTCATTTCCCCACAATAACTTTGATGATTGGATCTCTAGCTGAAAATGGATCTTGATCTAGGTTTGTTCTTAGTTTGAAATCTTAAATTTTGCTTTATCTGCAAAAACGCACATGTCCTTCAGTCCAACTGCCAATCTCAACATAATCTGATCGCAAGGAATCTCCATCAAGTCTGAAATTCTCATCTTTACATTAGTTTACTATTTGAAGAACAGCTAGAATTATAGTCTTTAGCTTTTCATAGCTCTAGCATCATCAATATACTTGGATCTTTTATGTCTATCGCTTAAACTCGTCGGTTGATAGTTGAGAATCGTGTAACTCGCTGGACCGTCACCTTCTTTCGTGAAATGCACTTTTTTCCCAACCATATCTAAAGCTTTTACAATGAAAATTAAAGATAAATGATTTACCATCAAATTTCACTTTGAGCAAATGATGATAGAGTTTTGTCCCGTCAACGTTTTGCATTCCAGAGCACACCTCAGCTCGATCCGATTTTCGACTCACCCAGTTACTCTCCACGTTCTCATCTGGGCACACTTCGTTTTTGTAACTCTAGAAAATTAAAATTTAATTGCAGCTTTTATAAATTCAAGATTTCAAGTAAATTTTAAAGATTTTAAAGTACCTGTAAAGCATGAGCCAACGCGTAGACAGCATCGATCACATACTGCACTTTGTCATCGGCTGTGAAGCTGTCGAGGGTGTTTCGTTGATCTTCACAACTAAACATAAAAGAAATCTTATATTATTCATGTTCTTTGGCTATTTTAATGCAAATTTGAGCTCTTGTGTAGTTTACAGGTATTTTGAAAGAATCCGGGTGTTTTAAACGGGTCGTCACGATTTGAAAGCCTATAACTTTGTCCAGAAATAATATTTTTGTTAACTTTTTATATCATTGTACAGAGGACATTTCAGGCTTTCAAATGATACTAAATAGAGCTTCATTGGATAATCCAGTCCAAGAAAATCAGGGCCAACTCTAAGCAAATGGGGCCTATCCAACTCGGATGTCGTGTCGCCTTGTTTGTATGGGAATGAAAAATCCAACAAGCTCTATTTGGTACCATTTAAAAGTCTGAAATGTCCTCTGTACAATGATATAAAAAGTTAACATAAATATTATCTCTGGACAAAGTTATAGGCCTTCAAAACATGACGACCCGTTCAAACAACCCGAAAACTACACAAAAGCCCAAATTTCTTTGAGAAATCGGTTTTATTTCTTCAATTTACCGATTTCTTGTCGATTCAGCCGGCAACTCAAACTCGCAATCAAATTTGCTCATCCAGAGCTCTCGCAGCCATTTGTTTCGCTCGAATTGCGGGGATCCCGGGTGAAGATCAAGAAAATACTGAAGTAAAACAAAATTTAGAATCAAGATATTGCTAAACCTTCTCAAATGATGGTACTCTTTGCGAAGAGAGCATTAAAACAATAGCTCCTTGAGCAGCAAGTTTTCTTTGTCCTTGGATGTAGGCCTCGTTGTTTCGATCCCAGCCTTCGGAAGCAAGCCTATCATATATAATTTTATTAGGTTGGTCAATAAGCCTTTGAACACTTCATTTAAAAAGCTATTTAGAAAGTATCAATTTACTGATTGACCTAGGGTTTGCTCGATTAGAAAGGTTTGATATTTTTCTATAAAATATTAATGAAATCTTGAGTAATGCTTTGTTTTTTGACTTGTTCTTGTTCGAAGTGCGAACTCGGGGAATTAAAAAAGCAACGATCCTATTGGATTTGCACTTTCGCCCAAAAAAATCTATTTTAGAGTCAATAGAAAAAGAAAAAGCGCAAAAAGTCAGGTATTTAGCCAAATTTTCAGAAAAATTCCTTCAGCCAATTCCTTTTTATCATCTTTTATCGGATTTTACGTGAAATTAGTTTTTGCTCTTGAGATTTTCTTAGAAATAGGTCCAGATTGGTGTAAAAAGATAGAAAATAGAAAATTGTATGATAAATGTCTTCTATTTTAAGCAAACCGTAGACCAATTGATGAACTTTTCATTTCTAAACAGATTTATAAAAAAAAGTGTTGAAAAAGTTATCGGCCAGCCTAATAGTATGCAGATTTCGTTTAAAGAAATCTTATGGTACTTGTAATATTTAATTAAAGCCACGTTTCCCTCACCAAATGATCTTTTTCTTGCTGGCCCCTTTGTGCAATTTCATCTTCTCAGCAGCTTGATTCATCAATTCAGCCACATATTCTGTGCCCACAAATAACACCACCACTCGTGCACCGACATCTTTTTCCGGTTGTAATCTAAAAAATTAAACAACTTGGGTCATTATCATTTGTATTACTTTTTAATTAAGTTATCGATCGATTCACTGATGCTTTCCTTTTTGTTAAGAACTCGCTCCTCAGTGGCAATGCAGATATTCTCTTTTCGAGCTTCCTGGAAACTTGTCATAATAAAGAAGTGAAGGAATTAGCAAGAAAAAGTAGTGGATTGAACTTTCGACCTGATTTCCAGGCAATTGCTCTAAGAACGGAGCTATTCGGTACCATAACTTGCAAAGAAAAAGAAGGAAAGACGAGGGAGAAGAAAGAAAGAAAGAAAGAAAAGTAAAATTTCATCAATTTCAAATCAAATCAATCAACAAACCTTTTTGAAAGCTTCAGCTCCTAATTCTCCATATTCGTCAGCTGAATAAAGTAATGAAATGTAGGACCACCCAAACTTTTTCGCTATTGAAATCATCGCCCGCGCTTGATAGTTATCGGATGGAACTGTTCTAAAATCAACTTTAAGCTGTAATTCTGCTGTAATTTCTGTTTTTCTCAAGAATTTACTGTTTTCTGTTACAAACCTTGCAAAGAACTCAAATCTGGCTTTATCGGAGAGGTCAGCGTTTGTGCTTGCCGGGCTGACTTGAACTATTCGAAACAGTCGAAGCAGGTTTGCCACCTAAATTCAATTAAAATAGTACTTAATTTTTGTCTTTTAATTAAATGAGCAAAGCTACCTGTACTGTGACCGAAGAGTAGCTCCCTCCAACAACAGCAACGACATTCTTTCGAGGGACCATCTTGCTAACGGGATGAGTGCCATCCCGACATTGATATTCACTTGGCTATAATCCCGACATTGATATTCACTTGGCTATATGAAAAGCTATTTTTAGAAAAATAGCTTTTCAAGTTTAAACAAGATTGAAATTCACTAAATAACTCAATCTTTCTCAATCAATTTACCTCTGTGCTTCCAATGAGCTCTCGTACAAAGTCAAGACTTTGATTGAGTGCATAGGCCGGGTTTGAACACGAATCCAAGATCATAGCGCCCTAAAAGATGAAAGCATATCAAAAACTTTATCAATATATTGGTTTGGTGAATTGAAAACTGCGGGCTATTGTCATATGTGACAGTTTGAGCACTTTCTTCAAAAGAAACCCTTTTTGGTGTCAATGGAAAAGTTGTAGAGAATCAAAAATTAAGCTTATATCCAAATTTCCAGAACGATTCAAAAACTGGTTTTCAAGAAATGCCAAATTCACGAATTTTCACAAAACTTGCATTTTAAGCTAAACTACTGAGTGTATCTTTTTGGAAATTTGGCTATAAGCCTCATTTTTGATTCTCTACAACTTTTCTATTGACACCAAAATGGGTTTCTTTTGAAGAAAGTGCTCAGAATGGGACATCTCCAGTCCTCCATTTTTGAGTCTCACACTTGTCTCACATACAAACCAAAATCCTACTACGAAAGAGGAATGCGCAAATTGCCTGTAAAATGGGCAGAAGTCGTCAATAATAATGGAAATTATTTGGAATGAATTGATGGTTTTATGTTGAATAAATTTTAGTTCAAAGTCTAGCAGTTTTCAATTCACCAACCCAATATTAATCTAGTTTTTTTTAAAGTTAAATTTACCAATTTGTAGCCTCGAAGGAAATCTGGTTGAGAATTGATTACATCGAGAGCGTAGAGCATTGCTTCGACTCGGTGAACGCCCCTAAGTGAGCTATTTTCTAGAGAAATTAAGTCAAAATTCGCTTGTAATGGTACTTGTAATAGCAAATTTAATTCAGGTCTAGGCTTCACAGGCTTTGGTTTACAATTTGTAAACTTAAAAATAGAGCTTGACTAATAGTAGAACTGACTGGCTTACTAACTTGACTAGGGGAATAAAGGAATAGCAAGGAAGATTTCTGGAGAGGGCATTGAACCCTCGGATCACCGCTAAAGTGATGAGCGGACAGATGCTCTAACCACTGAGCTATCTGGTATCTTTTTGCCAGAGAAGAGAGGAAGAAAGAGAAGGATTTAAATGACTATTCGAATTGTGTATGTTTTGTAAACTTTTCTTTTCTTTAAGCCACCTTGTTTCGGCGATTGATCCACACGGATCGTGTCCATCTTTGTTCTCCGCTTTCCAATGTACAGGAAAAACTCCACCTAATATCAAATCTCCCGGAATCGATATGTGGCGCACCTAAAATATTTCTTTAAATTTGATTCGAATCTTGTAAATAAAAAGCTAAAGGTCAAATAAACGAAAAAAGGTGACAACATGGAATTTGATCGAAGCTTTGTTAGTAAATGGTATTCGTTTACCTTTAGTAATTGAGAGTTTTGGCTTTTTGTGGTTTGCTAGAATGATTTGAGTATTGACTTGAAAAGGAAAAAAATTCGAGAAGCTACAGAAATTTACCGTTTCTGTACGATTCGCCGCTTCACGACCCCCCTTGAAAGAAAAAGGAGCGATTAGTAAAAAAAGTTTGATACAATTCTTGTTAACTCTTTTCAAAATAGAATTATATTAAAGATATTAAGATATTTTCTTGATTGATAGATCATTTCTTCTGAACTTACATCTCCGACTGCATGAGCGCTGACGAGGATGTGAGTGGCCAGCGCCACGATCGAGTACATACGTGATGGCGCCAATTTTTCTGAAAATTAATTAATCTTTGAATATTTTAAGTATAAAGTATAAGGTTATTGATTTAGAATAGAGCAATTAGATAAATCTAAGCTTGATTGCGCGGAAATAGGACTTGATCCAACAGAACTTGAAAGCAAATGGATTACTGGAGCTAACAGATAACTTCAGTTATATATCTAGTGTTTCAGAATACAACGAAAAACTACAGAATTACAATTTAAAAAGAAAAACTAAGTTTAGAAATGAATTTTGCAAGAAAAGGTAAGGTATTGGGTTGATGAATTGAAAACTGCTGGACTTTGAACTAAAATTTATTCAACATAAAACCATCAATTCATTCCAAATAGCTTCCATTATTATTGACGACTTCTGCCCATTTTACAGGCAATTTGCGGATTCCTCTTTCGTAGTAGGATTTTGGTTTGTATGTGAGACAAGTGTGAGACTCAAAAATGGAGGACTGGAGATGTCCCATTTTGAGCACTTTCTTCAAAAGAAACCCATTTTGGTGTCAATAGAAAAGTTGTAGAGAATCAAAAATTAGGCTTATAGCCAAATTTCCAAAAAGATACACTTAGTAGTTTCGCTTAAAATGCAAGTTTTGTGAAAATTCGTAAATTTGGCAAACCAGTTTTTGAATCGTTCTGAAAATTCGGATATAAGCTTAATTTTTGATTCTCTACAACCTTTCCATTGACACCAAAATGGGTTTCTTTTGAAAAAAGTGCTCAAACTGTCACATATGACAATAGCCCGCAGTTTTCAATTCATCAACCCAATAGATAAATCTAAGCTTGATTGCGCGGAAATAGGACTTGATCCAACAGAACTTGAAAGCGAATGGATTACTGGAGCTAACAGATAACTTCAGTTATATCTCTAGTGTTTCAGAATACAACGAAAAACTACACAATTACAATTTAAAAAGAAAAACGAAGTTTAGAAATGAATTTTGAAAGAAAGGGTAAAGTATTTAAGAGAGTAGCAATAATTCTAAGAACAAAAAGTGTTAAAATCACGTGCCACTCTTCAATGATAGTCTTTCTTTAGTAAACTTTCAAAATCTCTCAAAATAAAGCTTAAATATCAGTTGCAATTCGGTTTAAGGTGAATGGAAAGACAAGAAGTGTCCTTTTTGTGTGCCCAAAAAAGTCCTTTTGAGTAATATGAGACGGTTGGTGGTCTAATGAGGGCCAACTCACACTCTACGTCTTGAGGAGAGAAGAGTGCACGTTTCAGAGCCACAGATACGAGAATCATTCTTTAATCGAAAATGTTTCTCATATCGTAAAATAGGCATTCCAAGAAAAGGTTGAAATTGGAGAAATGAGGTTTGGGAACGGTGAAGTTCTGAACTTTTTCAGCTAACGAATGAAAAGCTATTTAATATATAATAAGTTTATAATAGATATTTAAATCTATGTTCTACATAAAAAGTTGTTAAATTAAGAGACAGTTAGAACTTGTACAATCATTGGAAAGAAAAGAGTTACCCTGAGAACTTGAGAATCAATGAGAACTTTATTCAATACAACTACCGTAAATACTGTAATAGTACCCCCCCCGTAATAGTAATAGTATTAGACTGCGACAGCTTTTTGGTCACAGAGGGTAATGAAAGTTAGAAAATGGTCTTAAAGAGGATCGATTATAATAATTTGTTTGAAAATTCAGTTGTCATTTGCTCAACAAAAACTCAGCATCTCATTTACAGAAGTCATAAACGAATAAGAAGTGACTTTGACAGTCTAATTTACAAGTCCTTTTCCAATTCGGGAATGGTGAAGTTGTGAACTTTTTCAGCTAACGAATGAAAAGCTATTTAATATATAATAATAAATAAGTTTATAATAGATATTTAAATCTATGTTCTACATAAAAATATGGTAAATTAAGAGATAGTTAGAACTTGAACAATCTTTGGAAAGAAGTTACCTTGAGTTACCTTGAGTTCTTGAAGAGTTATCTTGAGTTCTCTTGGGCATTCTCTTGAAAGCTTATTGATAAGCTAACAATTGATAAAATCAAGTAACAGTAAGTAACAGTTACATTATTACAAATTCAATATCAAAAAGAAATTGCAAGAAAACAATAGCATCATGTAGTGTTTCGATAGAAATGCAACCCTTGCCTTTTCCGCTTTACTCTTTTCCTCTTTCTCCTCATCGACCCAAGAAAGGTAATTGCTGCAATGGATATCTTGTACTGATGATGATTAGTCTCAAAAATGAAAATCTTTAAAAAAAAAGCATTTCTGTAGTTAACTTATACCAAAAACATTCAAAGTTCCATCTTCTTATTAGAAAAAAATTTTAAAACTGGTCAAGTAAAGTATCAAAGGAAAGATCAAAAGCAAAAGTATTAAAGCTACGTTTAAATCCGACACATAATACATAAAATTTGTAAAATTTGATTAAAAGCATTTGAATTAACATACTTTGAAGCCTTTTTTATCTCTTTGGTTTACAAGAGAAACAAAATGGATGAAAAAAGCTCAATGGCTCAAAACTCCAACATGATGACAAATAAACGATCAAAAAAAGAAGAGATCAAATGTAGAGATTATTATTTTATCGATCAAATGATCAAAGAGATTATTTTATCGATCAAATTTGATCGATCTTTAAATTATTTAGAGGAAATTTGACAGTGATTCAAGCATCAAACATAGCAAATCGCTTTTCGGTAAGTTGATACTCGTATTTTTCGGTTCTCAGGCTTCAATTTGGGAATTTTCGTTTGGATTTTTAAATAAAATAAACAAAAACTAATTGTGGATCGTGAAATTAAGTATATTTTTCTTAAAGAATTGTTTAAAAATAGAAACCCACCAAGATTTTTGCAAAAAGATTCGGAATATTTGAAAGAAAGAAGTTACTTTGAATGGAAAATCATTCACCTAAATGTGTTGATTGATTAAAAATGATCAAGAATTGTAAAAAAAACTCAAATAACAAGTAAAAAGAAATTTAAAAGCAAATGCAAAGTATAATAGGTATTGTTCAATTCGAAGCTATTGGGTTGGTGAATTGAAAACTGCGGGCTATTGTCATATGTGAGAGTTTGAGCACTTTCTTCAAAAGAAATCCATTTTGGTGTCAATGGAAAAGTTGTAGAGAATCAAAAATTAATCTTATATCCAAATTTTCAGAACAATTCAAAAACTAGTTTTCAAGAAATGCCAAATTTACGAATTTTCACAAAACTTGCATTTTAAGCGAAACTACTAAGTGTATCTTTTTGGAAATTTGGCTATAAGCCTAATTTTTGATTCTCTACAACTTTTCTATTGACACCAAAATGGGTTTCTTTTGAAGAAAGTGCTCAAAATGGGACATCTCCAGTCCTCCATTTTTGAGTCTCACACTTGTCTCACATACAAACCAAAATCCTACTACGAAAGAGGAACCCGGAAATCGCCTGTAAAATGGGCAGAAGTCGTCAATAATAATGGCAATTATTTGGAATGAATTTATGGTTTTATGTTGAATAAATTTTAGTTCAAAGTGCCGCAGTTCATTCACCAACCCAATATTTTAAGAAAAACTTTTGAAAACAAAAGAAAGTATCATTGATGATCCAGAATTTCCACTCATCTCATGAACAAATTGTTGAGAGTGGAAATGGGAGAAGATGAGAAGAGATTGAGAATCGTGAATGAGAGAAAGGAAACCAAAAGATCCCCTCAGCAAATAACAACTCTCATCCACTTCTCATCATCGTTTTTTTTTGCAAATAAGATCCTTAAATCGCAGCTTTTCTTCATCAAAGACGTTTTATGTTATGCTTTTTTATGTTTAAGTGTTTTATGCTTGACTTTTAAGAATTTGCAAGTTTGAATCCAAAAGAATTTGATACCATACACAGCATTAACATTAAACATTAACATTAATATCATTAACATTAACACAGCAGGTGATTTCATCATTAACACAGCTCTCAGAATTGAGTTTGATAAATTAGAAAGCTTTTAAAAGACTTAAAACATTGAAATCTTTACTAAAAAAACTTCAAAAAGATTTGTCAAAAAAATTTGGAAAGGGAAAAACTATAAAGTTTCATTTCGTTCACGTTTATTGTGAAGTTGAAAGAGATCTCATTTTTGATGTGTGAAAGTCAATGTGGCCGTCTTCAATTCCTCTATTGTCTGTTCGTCTGGGTGGTTTCTGAAAGAAAAAAAAAGAGGCTAATTTCTATATTTTATAGAAGAAGGCAAATTTCTTTAGCTCTTTTTCCTTATCATTAACGATTTCTATTGAGCAGTATTAGTAAAAAAATGGGTAAAACTACTTTGCTCTGTACTTACTTGTGTGCTTTTCCTTGAATTCACCAAACCTATGTGCCCCTGCTTGAATAACAAGACCAAACCTTGGAAATCTTTACCAAGAAACTTTATTCAACTTTATCACCTATCAACTATCAACATCAATGAGAACTTTATTGAATACACCTACCGTAAATACTGTAATAGTACCCCACCCCATAATGACAGTGCGGAGTGTTGCGTAGTCTAGCTTTGAACGAGTTTTTCTCGACACTGGTTTATGATACAATGCGCGCTTAGGTATCAAAAAATAGCTGAAATTCAGGGCTATTTTTTGATACCAAAGATGAGCTCGACATTGGTTAGGCTACGGTATTTCTAGTGTCTTATTAGATTGCGACAGCTTTTTGGTCACAGAGGGTAATGAAAGTTAGAAAATGGTCTTAAAGAGGATCGATTATAATAATTTGTTTGAGAATTCAGTTGTCATTTGCTCAACAAAAACTCAGCATCTCATTTACGGAAGTCATAAACGAATAAGAAGTGACTTTGACAGTCTAATTTACAAGCCCTTTTCCAATTCGGGAACGGTGAAGTTGTGAACTTTTTCAGCTAACGAATGAAAAGCTATTTAATATATAATAGGTTTATAATAGATATTTAAATCTGTGTTCTACATAAAAAGTTGTTAAATTAAGAGACAGTTAGAACTTGAACAATCTT